TTAACTCACTCCTTGTCCACTGTGTCCCCGAGCTTCAGACTTCACCGAGCTAGGGGCCAAAGCCCATGACTGTGATGAATGGCGCTTCGTCCGCGAAGTACTCCCACATAAAAAACTGATTACCAATTCGATCTTAAGGTGGCCATCTTCGCCTAACTAAAAAGGAACGGTCCCTGGGTGATAAAACTAACCGCAAACCCAAACCATGGCGCAAAAGTTGATGGTAGCGTGGCTCAAAAAGCGTAAGAAGCTGCCATCCGGAATCCATATAAAGTCAAAGGACACCAGCCCAAAAATCAACGAGATGACGCTGAAAATTCAACCCATTTGTGTGCCTCCGTTAGCATGCCGCCCAGAACCAGAATGCAGTCAAAACTCTCCGTCAGCTAATGGAAATCCAGGTTTGAAGCCACCTACTGAAGCCGAGAACTCTGCATGTCAAAAAAGTACTGCCGTGGGGCAATCGATTAAGGTTAGGTGGGAAAACAACCCGACAGCCAACTCCACCAGAGTCAGCATAACTCCGCACCCAGAAACCGCATCTACGAATACAACGCCAAGCTCTGATGCCCTCATCTACTTGCATACTAACTTTCAAGGTCTTCACAGTCAGTTAACCGTGCTTCGTACTCGTTACGCCTTCACTGCTTTAGATTTGGTCATGATAACTGAAAGATGGTTGAATATCGAAATCTCGGGTTGGTTGCAATCGAGGTAACATCATCTGTGAAGAGTTGGATGTAGTTTGGTTGTAGGAGCTCGTACCAGGCAAATCCAGGAATGGATGCCACCGGTTAATGCGCCGGTCCGTAGCTTTTCGGAAACATTAGATGCGCTTCACCCTGCCTGATTGTTCATCGAGGTTTTCAACGGGGCGCATTGATTCCCCGTCGCGACCAAGCTACACCCAACTCTGCACTGATGATGTCACTACGATTGGTGATGAAATGTCTGCAAGTAAACTGCCAATCTCGACAAACAATTGATCAACTATCTCTGTTCCAATTATTCAACAGCGGTCTCGCTAGGATGCATGTGTCAGACTTCTTACCATTTGCAGACGACGTCAAGATCTGGCATGAAATCAGGACAGTGGGCGATCACGCGGCGCCGCGAAGAGATCGACAGGGACTACACATGGTACGCAGGTCATCGGATCCAGTTTAACCAGAGGAAATGCAAAGTGCTGAGCATACAACATCAGTTTACTCAAGAATATCAACTGGGACAGCAGCTTCTGCAATATGCCATGCAGGAGAGCGGCCTGGGAGCAACCGTGCAGAACGACCTTGGCTGCTCTAGAGAGGCCATGAACGCATCGATAAGTGCCACTCAGCACCTTGGCCTCCCATGATGGGTGTTCGGGAAGGTCGAGCTATCAATTTTTCCACAAATGCCATCCGCTTACGTGAGGTCCTAAGTGGAATACGAGATTCAGGCCTGGCGAACTCGGTGCAAATACGATGCCGCTGTGCTCGAAGCTACACAATGTAGGGCGACGAAAATCCTTAGAGGACGGTTACATCTGCCCTGCTAACACAGAACGCAAGCCCTAGGTCTGGACAGTTGCGAATATTGACGTCTGCGAGGAGAACTTATTATGGTGTACCAACTACTAACTAGGCCCCATCACGTCAGCCACAATGCCTACCTGAGAGGCCACCAGCTCAAACTGACCACACAACACAGTCGACTGGATTGATGACAAAATGTTTCTCCATCCTGGTATCCAGAGAGTGGAACGCACTCCTCACGTTATTTTTGTCCCCGCACGAACCCTCTGGACAAAAACATTGGACCGTATGCTATCCACTTACATTATGTGATATAGTCTGTTCCCATCTAAAGACGAATTAACGCAAACAGTGTGCTCACCTCTCCTCACAGTTACGTAGCGGGGAGCAGACCAGGATATGTTCACGTGAATAAATCCGTGAATAAACCCAAACCAGAATTTCCCATTTTCCTATTACTTTAAACAATCAGTGTACTACCCACATCCCGGTCATCCTATGGAACTTTTCAAGCAATATCACTTTACCCGATAGGAATCATTGTACATTCCCCGAAGACGTTCGACCGCCTGGATCACCGCATTCCCCTCCACAAGCTTAGTAGCCATGAAATCGGCGACGGTTGGAGGACGCAACTCAAATTCAGAAATAGGTTGCCACCATAACGACGCAGGAGAGGGGCAGAACGTGTATTGTCACAAAGTGAAACCGAAAACGCACGAACCCGTACAAATATGAACCGTGTTTCCTTCCAACGGCGCAACGAGGATGAGTATTTGTGTGAGGGGCCATTCCAGGTGCCTACTAGGTTGAGCTTTGAAACAATCCATCCATGTTTTCATCCCATATCTCGGCTTCGCTAAATCCGATTCCGTCCCGCCAGGAGTCGTTCAAAAGCTCGCTATTTACTCTCCCGTGGCTGCATCGCTCGGCCCGGGTTCAGCTTCGTAGACTACGCTAGAGGTGTATTTGGCTGATACATTGTGTGCTGACAAATGCCTCCTCCGTTGTTCTGGGACCAGGCTCGTTACCAGATGCCGCCCGTGATCCGCTGTCGGCTCGATTTTCAAAGCTCACAGAACATTGTCTCGTCTCACCTATTGGGCCCGTTGGTATTTCAGTACAACCCCGTCTTTGTTATCGTTCCGGTTCACGAGTAGTTCTTTGCTTCCGCCGCCCTAAAATATGATGTCCACTGTGGTGCGCCCCACGAATCGTACTGAATGCGTCACCAAGATGTGCCGATGGCATCGCTTGTCATTTTCGGACGACGACAACGTATGGTGTGACATCAAGACGGTGCACGATCACGCGACACGGTAAAGACATCTCGACAGGGTTAATGCGTGGCATCCGAAACCCACCTCTAGTTCAATTTGTCGAAATGCAAAGCTGTGAGGATAAACCATTAGAGTAGCTATAAATAGCTACTTGGGGCAAGCCATTACGCCGTGTTTCCCAGGAACTTGACCTCGGGGTAAACATGTAGGATGACACAAGGCGAACGAAACAGGTTGAAAATGCGTCTAAAGAGCTAGTCAGCACCTTGGACCATTAGCCAGCACGTAGAATATCCAAGCTAAGCCTGGAGTCCCTGGTGCATACGCGATATTCACGCGCTTGTACCTCCTTAAGATAGAGCGGCCAACTTTGTCAGGGGAGTGCTTCAAACGGTACCAACGCAGACTTCAAGCTCTGGGATTGTACGACGGTGAATATTGCATTAATCAGGACACCTCACCATGACTTGCCTATACTGACAAACCCAGATCACTCCAGTTGCGAGCTATTGCAACTCAGACAAAATAATAATCTGAGAGGTCACCTGCTCAAACTTGCCGCGCACTACAGCCGACTTGGGCGCTAACAAAGTTTGTTCCCTCCGGGTGTCCCGAACATGGAACTCCCAACTCACGTTATTTTCGCTCCATCATCAAGGCTCCTCGAAAAGCGCCTTGACGACACACTATCGCACTTGCATTACGTAACATAGTCCGTTTCAGTCAGAGAACGGAAAAGCTCCAACTAAACGATGTGCTCACCAACTCTCTCTATAAGATTAAGGAAACCCGCATTAATGTTCATGTCAATAGCTTGGAGAGCTAATTAAAGCGCAAAATTTCCCCTTTTCATGTTATTTCTAAGGTTGTTTTTATAGTCCTCATCCTGTTCATCCTAGGGGACTCCTCAAGCAATCAATGTTGAAGGTATACTCCAAGGACATTATTTACGAATCGTTTTTAGCCCATTATAAAAATTGTTCATCGTTTATTGTTCATCGTGGCCGTCCCAATAATGCGGATGAAGTCAGTCATGCGTGCTCAAAAAGAAGCAATTTTTCGTCAAGCACGGGTGCATAGGACGTAGGTGCTTAACTTCCGTCATTCACTCTACAATGGAAAATTGTTTTTATACGGGTAAAAATGCTAACAAATAACAGGTCTCATCTGGTAGCACCCACACTTATATATATATATATATATATATATATATATATATATATATATTCAGTAATGACATTGCTACCGGGGAGACAATACGAAATGCATCGCCCTACCAGCTTTCGTTTTCGCACAGCTTTAAAACTTGTTGGAGAGAAGTAAATGCGTTAAATTTCCAAAACGACGAATTCCCGCTAAAACTGTCGGGTTGCTTTCCTGTGGTGCATGATCGGATGCGCACGTGTCGAAATATATATTCTCCTAAAATGTACTCTTGCTCGCCGTCATCGACGTGCGGTCTTGGCGGTCGTTTCGTAACAAACACAAGCGGTGTGCGGCCAGCCTCAGACTTGTGGCATCAGCTGTAACAGAGAGAGCTCAAAGTAGGCTTTTTGAATTGCTATAACCTCATGGTTGGCGGCATCCGGTTTCGGATTTGCCTGTCACTGTGGCCAGCCACAGGAGGCTAACTAACCGTGCGAGAGAAGTTGTCTCTGTGTTATCGGAATGTTTATGTCAACATGTGTAAAGCCTCTCTAAGTCGTACGACGCGAAATCGGAGTAGTCGTCTGGAAACGTAACTGGCAGACATGTAGTTTAACGAACCAATTACTTGTGATACTAATAACTGGTGGTGAATTGCTCGAATGTACAGCTTGATATATTGCAATGAGAAGCTTTGTCATTTGGTCTTGATTACAATTTCGCTACTAGTAAGCTAAACGGATTGCCTGTAGAAGCCTAATTCGTGAACCTTCTTGAACAGTTTAAAGGGGATTCAACCAACTGGTCCTGAGAAATGCATTTGGTTTCGAAACAAATTAACCGATAGTGCCCATGAATTCGAAACAGTGCCGGTTAGTGAACTCCGTCCTCACAGGTCGGCACCTTTAGGCCTTAATTTGAAGTATTTGCAAACGAAGTAATCTTATGAAATTAAATGAAGGCTTTGAAGGGGCGATCAATGCGAAGGCCGAATACCATAAGGGAATGTGCACTCTACTCGATGATAGAAATATCTGAACAACTCAAAAAATTAACTTACCGTGATTCTTTCCGGTGGGCCATCTTCTGTTAAGTTACCAAAGGTAAGTTCATTTATCTCACCGTAATGAGCCAGTTTTGGCAAGAAGTAGTTCACTTTGTTCCCCAGATCTGTTGCTTCCGTGAAGTATTGTTCGGAAATATCGCTTGTAAATGTCCCTTCAGAGGCTTGTTTTGTAAGTGACCGGTTCGTGTCAAAGGTTCCCATGTCTGATGTGTTGTCAAGTACACTCCACATTCTTCTCTACAGGAAGGAAGAACATTGAGATTGCCCTTTGGAACAACCACACAATGGTATTATAGGGATAAAAAAGCAAAGGCTAGACAAGTCGCGTGTGAAGGTTTGTGGGAATAACGTAAGTTAAATGAAGTTACACCAAAGAGAAAAACGTATCTGTGGGCTCACCGTATTATCCACGTTACCACATAAGTATATCGGTCCACCCCGTTTTCGCGGGGTTGGTGAGCACAATCTTTGTCTGTTGCTTGTTGTCACTCAATGAATAGAAATCAGATCAAGTACGGTAAATAGTGTAACACATCATCGAATCGTTATTTAAAATGGGTAGCATGAGCGCGGTACTGACACAAGTTGAAAGAGCGTTCCACGGTTGACAAAATCGAAGGGGAAACTAATTCCGGCCGCACTCAATCTGACTCTGTTGGGTGGCAAGTTTCAATTTATGACCCCTCAGTTATGTGTTACAGCTAAGGTTCGGGAGGTGGCGGCAAGCGTGGCCGGAGTTTTTGCAAATCTGGAACGTTAGGATGAGCTTACCCCGTAGACGGCGAGATTTTCCACTGTACACCCCCAGGACTTTCAATTACTTAGGTTATTGCAGGTGTGATAATCCCTTCACATTTTTCGTTCCCCGTCGCTGTGCGGTCTCCAGTGCAACCAGGTCGTCTTTTGGCCAAGGTCGCCAAGCCTGGATCGCGTACTCTACATGGGGCCTCACATGTGCATTGAGCACTTGTGCGAAGATGGAGGGATCGAACCTCCCGAAGGCACTCGGTAACAGACCAACATGTTGCTTCGTGGTTTTGAACGCCTTCAAATACTGCGCCGAGCAGCCGAGGTCGTCTTGCACCACCACCCCTAGGTCTCGCTCTTGTGAGGCGCTTTTCAGAATGTTGTCTCCAAGCTTATATGTCTATGTGGGCTTGCAACAGACATGCACGGTTTTGCACTTGTCCGTGTTAAACGAAATAGATTTACCTCAGGCCATACAAAAGCGCATTCTAATTCACGTTGTAAAATATCGTAATCTTCCTGACAGTTGATTGCCTGCCATATCTTGATGTCCTCGGCAAAAAGGAGGAACTTCCACTTGATGGCACTCGTAAGGACGTTAATGAAGAACAAGAATAACCGCGGCGCCAACACCCACTCTTGTGGAACACCGCAGTCCACATCAATTGGATCAGAACATGAACCTCGAAATCGAACCTGAATCCACCGTTGAAAGAGGGAGTTTCCGATCCATCTAAGGACATGCTTCCAACTCCGTATGTTTGCGGCTATTGGAAAAATTGCGGCGATCTATGCGGTAAAAGCATTAGAAATTCTAGGTCCCACTGTCGACTATCTCGGTCCAACTGCCACGGACAAGCAGTAGGTTGGTGGTACATGACCGATGCTCACGGAATCAGTGTTACTCAGGTCCTATAATGGTAGACCTTTCAAAGTAGTTCATTAAAGCCTCAGCTATGATCGATTCCATCACACTTGAGAACACCGGTAGGAAAATCACTGAGCGATAGTTGGATGGCTCTAAACGGTTACCACCTTTGAAAATAGGGTAATGATGCCTTACTTCCACATGTTATGGAGCTGTTGCTCGTCAAGACATCTTTGGAAAAATCTCGTTAATGGGTCAGCTGTCCTCGTAGCTGCAACCTGCAGCTATTAGAATGGGGTATGTGTCGACTCCGGGGAAACTATAGGTGCACAAAGAAAGCAGTTTCACCAAAATGGTCGCTGAACTAAACGTGACTTGTGTAAATACCGGTATCTGGGAGGATGGGACAGGTATGATACAAATGCTGGTAGCACGTCTGAAAATTGAGGCATACTGTAGCCGTAGAACATTCTCTGCATCCGCGGTGGTTTGAGCAAATCAGCCACTGCTAATAGTAGGGGAACACTAAGTTTCACATTCCGGAGGCTGTTCACCTGTCTGTACAGAAGCTTTTGTTAACACAAAAGCTTTTCGATAGACTCTGCCGGTGTACTAATATGTTCTCGCGCACAAGTGTGGCATGGTGATTATGATGCACAACATAGTTACCCCAGTTGTCAGGGCTAGCGTACTCTCTATACACATGCCACGCGGCGTCTCTTACTGTCATGTGTTTTCGGGTTCTACTCCAAATGAATTGTTGTGCCCTAGCAGAACGAAGGGGCTTGTTGACCGATGCAGATTTAATCAGATCACTGAACTTGCCAGTAAAATCCAACCAAGCACTGTCAATGGAACAGTCGTCCGGAAACTCCCAGCTGGCATCTCCCACAAGTTCTGACAGTATGCCGCAGTGAGTGATTGTTCGAAACAAGTTAATATGTACTTGTGGATACTCCGCATGACAAAAGAAGTCGTAAATTATTGTTACATGGTCGCTCCGGCACAGAGGGCTCTCCAGCTTTAGTTTCTCAACCGTGTGCTCCTCGGTTGTGAGCACTAAATCAAGCCCGGATGGATTATTTCCGGCTCCGAATCGGGTGAGTGCACTGGCATGGCTGAAGAGCGGAATGTTGCAACATACTCTTGCAGATCGGCCTTGAACTGCCCGTTAAGGGGATGCAGGAGCATCCGAATCATGAATATTGAAGCCGCCTCAGATGAGAACATGGCTGTATCGTCCTCGTAGAAAGCTTCCCAAGCATAATGCCAGACGGGAGTCCATTTCTGGGGGTAGACATTGGAGGACGATAAACAACGGCCAACAGGCAAGTGCCGTTGCGTCTCAATCGCCGACTGCACCAGAATGAGTCTATGATCAGCGTTTCCGAGAAGGGACATACAATTTAGCACGATCTCAGCATGGGTAAATTTGCATGAAACCAGGTTTCCGTACCGAATATATGGTCTCAGGCATGTGACTCTTGACGTAGCCGCAGTTCGGCAAGCTTGTTCAGGAGAACTTGTGCCTTGGTGTACATGCAGGAAAATTTCTGTGTTCTTAGTAAAGACTCGTGAGATGCGAGTGTTGGAAAAAAATGTTTTGCCGACCGGTGAAAGATCGGCAAGTATTCGTTTTTGGTGGGGGGAATGACGAAATCATATGTGTCAGCTTCATGGATCCTACCATTACCTTTTTGCTTTTCTCTTTGTATGTAATGTATGGGTGGTTTGCCAGTTTCGTTGGCTAGTTGTTTGAAGTTATACGAACTCTTGTCGGTAAGTGGTCTGACTAAGTGACTGCTCTCGTGTGTTTGCTTAGCAGGTGCTGCTTTCATACTGAGCTCGGTAGGTAGGTTGCCGTGGCCCACATACTATCCCTCCACTACCATTACCAATATTTGTCTAAGTTGAAGGACCACTTTCACAATCCTCGGGCCACATCCATTGTAGTTTGATGATCGTCACAGTCTGCAGATTGATTGCGCCATGACGTTTTCCAGGGAGAGGGTCACGCGAATGTACAGCCATTGTTCCTGGTCGTGAGTGGTCTCTTTGCGCTCCGCACGAATTCCAGCCAGGGGAACATAGTGTACGACGATGGTCCTGGCTACGGATTCCTTCCGGTTTTCTTCCAAGTAGTGTTTCGTCTGCTTACGCTCGCTAGACGAGATATCTGTGAATAGGCGGATGGAACACGACACATTCCGGTGGCGAGCTGTCGATAACAGGACAGCTTCTGCTTAATTGGCAGAAGTCAACACAACTTGGAGAAGTCTTGGTTCACCGTATTGCTGTGACTTTGGGTGTTAGGTAAAGCGTATCAAATTGACGGGTTTAGTTACAACACCTATAGTATCACATATGAAGTTCCACTGGTTCAAGCATCGAGTTGTTCCGCTTTTAAAGAACTTGACGTCGATTCTGGAACGTTGGCGTAGATTCCCCCTGGTATACTACGTGAAAATCCGGTTGAGGTCAAGTGACCAGCTAGTCTGTATGCCGTCGATGGAGGCTTTTTGGGTACAGCTTCGTTTTCTTCGTTTACTACGGGTCCAGTAAAAGTGGTCGAAGATCTAGGTTTACGGTCACATTTGACAGCAACCAAGTTCAAACAACCACTGGCGTCGAAGCCATCTGAATTTTCGGAACCGTTTGAGAATGGACGAGGCTCTGACCATGCTCATTGCAGTCGGGCTAGCAGTGCTTTCTTCAAACATATTAGTACAACTAGTGGTATTGCCGTTTCATGCCCCCAATAATGCATTTATAGCGCCCTGCCCAGCCTTCTTCCTCCGTTTTGATACGCCGTCTGATGGGAGTGACTGGGATTTACATTCTGACACGCTTTCTACAAACGAATCGCTTTTCCTGCTCCTCATTTGTTCAAACATTGCCACCACTCCTTCGTAATTCTTCGATAGTTCATGTACCATGACTATAAAATGACTATCCATACAATGACTGCACAAACATACCATACAATGACCATACATACTGAACAGAGCCATAGTGAAACTGATTTACTATTGTGTAGTTTCAACTGGTTCACTGTGAGCATGGACATTTGCGAGGGAACTTGCCTTGGCAGCTGCTACACTGGATTCCAATCCGTACATTTGTATTGCCTGTAGGAATGCCTCAAACTAATGTACATCTGGATGCGGTAACATAGGCTTTTGATTGGTCACCACAATCCATTGCTTCGAGCGATGGTATTCACATAGAGGCCAAGAGAGCTTATGGTTTCCTGCCGGTCGCCTGTGCGCTGAATTGTCTGCGTGTTCAAGTTCGCCACGTTCTCTGCGTCTGGCCCAGGCGAGGCAGGTTAACGCGGCTAGATCGCTCACACGGCAAACAGAGCGACTGTGCGATACGGACGCAAAGGATACGATGGCTACCATGATGATTTGTCCACAGTTGTGGTTGCTGATCCGTCAAATGAAAGGTGTAGCTGGTTTCCGTTTGAGACCACAAACATTTCTGCTTGGTTCGTGATTCGGAAAATTCCTCAATTGTGTTTTCGCGGGAATGGCGCAAAAACAGTAATGTGGAGGTAAAAGGTGTTCCACACAAGCTAGACCCGATAGATGGAGTGCACTAGATAGCGTTGATGTATCTA